TTTATTTTTGCATGTTATCACTGTGCCCGTTTTTTGCTTTTATTCTTTGTTCCGCAAAGTGCGCTCTTTTAGTTTGTAGTGATGTGACAATATCTCTGTGTGTGTGTGTGTGTGTGTGTGTGTGTGTGTGTGTGTGTGTGTGTGTGTGTGTGTGCGGTTTAAGGTGTGTTTCTGTGTGCGATGCTCGCTGAAGGACATGTGCTGCAACGTGATTATGTGCACTCGCAACCATCAGAGGCCAGGGGTACCACACAAATTGCATCTTTGCCACATTTTGGGACCTGCCGCAAAGTTGTGTGTAAACCAGGGGCATGTGACAAATAAACGAAATTGGTTGGGTGAGTGACAAATAATGTCAATTCTTAGGGGTGCCAGACAGTTTTTCCCTTGCTCCTTTTCTCCAGTTGAAATTTATTCACCTGCACTGCTGTGCCCTTGACGGTTCCATCCATATGGGCAGAGAATAACTGCAAGCAGTGCAAAGTAAAGTCGTGATTCCAAGTTTGGGAGGCAAGCCTACTGCCTTCATCCAAATATAATGTATTGCAAGGAGAATGAGCAATAGCAAAATGTCAGAATTCCAGATTGCAAAATCACATTGAATGCCAGATGGCCGTAAACTGTCCAGAAAGCGGAAATGCACTGAAATCACACTGAAGGAGAACCAAAGCAGCGAACTCAATTGTCGATGAGAACCCTCTCTCGCCACCGCCAACAATGTACTTGAAGCTCTTCCTCCCTCCTGACGCTCAGTGCCCAGACTACAATCCTACAGCTACGAAGCTAGCCTGCGAAATGACAAAGCAACCAGTTGACGTCAGCAGTAGCAACCGAAGTACATGCAGATGGCGACTATGCAGACCTCCACCAAGACCAGGTACGTGCTCTCACATCACTCCCCGCTCGCCCTCAGCATGCCCACCCTCGTCTTCTACATCCCCGTCCTAACACCAACCAAGGACAACCGCCGATCGCCGCTGACCGACCTAGCTCAGCCCGGCTACGGATGCTGAGCTATGGCGCTGCCTGCTTGCTCTACCTATGCACAGCTAGCATGCAGCACGCACGAGCCAAAGCAAAAGCAAAAGCAAAAGCAACGCTGCAGCATGCACATGCATGCGCCCGAATGACCTCCCTTGGCCTGGCGCTTTCCTATATGGAAAGCAGCCAGGCTCGATGGTGCCTGGACCAGGCGCGTGTGTGCCCAGAAGCTCCACTTTGGGCCATAGTGTCTGCGCCGAGGCCCATTCAGACAGTTGCCTGGGACCAAATGGGTAAGGCCTGCCCAACCGCCGAAGCGCGACCGTGAGGTGATCCCTGCGTCCACTATGTTCGTAGAAGAGCCTAGAAGGCTTGCGAATGTTTCTGCTTTTTCACGAGCAGGGTGGATGTAACCAACTGGCACACATGGCAACTGTCTGGCGTCCACCAGTACTTTGCAAAATTGATGGATTCTGGCCTCATTGAGATTCAGGGGCCTGCCTTCACATAGGGTGAGCACATGCTCGCCGTAGGGGCCACATGTAGGTATGCTGAGTGCTTAAAATCCTCGCAGTATCGTTGAAAAAGGAGGGGGGGACGGGAGGGGGGGAGGGGAGGGGGGGGKGGAAGGATCATCATTATTTCTGTATGAAGGGAAGTTTGTGAACCAGATGAAGTGTCTAAGGTCACGTGTTCTATTCGAGGGAGGTGGCAGAAGGCAATGGTGGTTCATACGAATACATAAAGCATGGTAGTTATAGATGCATCTAAGGCAATAAACAGGTCAGATGCAGCCACGATTGCAGTGCCTTACTTTGGGGGACAGATGGTACTACCCCAGGACACATTCTGGTGAAATGCTGAAGTATTGGCGGCTATTGGCGGCTGGTTCAATGGCCAGATGGTCTTGGTAGGTCCTGACATCCCTTGCTGGGGGTTAGATAGAGGCCTTGCCCTGGGGTTTGGATAGATGCTTGCACTGGTAGTTCCTTCTCTGCGGGCTTAGTCATGTAGTTAGGTGTGTGAGGTACATTTGAGAGAAGAATATAGCTTAGTTAAATAAATAAAAAAAGGACATGCAATTTTCTGTTCCTAGAAACTTTGTGATTCACGTGCATCAATGGCGTTCCTGTGTCGTTTTGTGCCACACATGATTGAGTTCTCATCGGGCTATTCAACGAACGCTGCTAGTGGGACGATGCCCTGTCATTTCATGTATGTCGACGGGTAGGTCCTGCCTGTGAGAGACGGGGAGCAATCAATAGGCCTCTGTCATTTCATGTATGTCAACAGCAATGCTCTTTCCAGAAAGTATACCACTGCACTTGGGGCCACACTCTGGGTGGTGCACAAGTGAAAACAACCCCTGGCAGCAGGTCCAGCAAAAGGGGCGTTACCAATCCTGGCCAACGAATTTCTCATGCCGGAGCTTGGCGCGCAGGCAGAATCAGGGTCGGGGAAAAAGTAGCTTGAGGTACTGGTGATTTAAGCCACCAGCCTTCTATCTTCGATCCCCAGTTCACTTTCATATCTGTGTCTACGGAGAACAGGGCCCGCATACTGGATTCAGTTGCTTCAATGAGGACCGTCAGATTATCTGCGAACAGGGAAGTGACTGCGATCTTGTGCTGTGGGAGCTCGGGGATATTTATGCGTTCGATGGCCGGATTTGATCTTACGAGTTGCAGCGAGCGCTTCCATGACTATGAGGAAGGTGAGAGGGGCAATCAGGTCACCTTGTCTGACCAACCTCTGAAGAGGTAAGGGGGAGGACATGTGACCGTTATCATTATATTTATGGCATCGGACCGGTTCAGCGTGTTGGTCCAGTGTCGGAAGTGGTCCAAAACTCATTCTTGTTAGGCACAGGTCCAAGGAATTCCGGTCTGCATGGTCGTACGCTATTTCGAAATCTATGAGTAGGACTGCCGCCTCCACTCTTCATTGTGGTGCATATTTGATTGTTTCGTTGACCAGCAGGATGTTGTCTTGAATGTTCCTTTGAGGCATGAATCATGTCTGGTCTATGTGGATGAGGTTATGCATGTATGGTAGCAGTCAATTGCACAAGGCCTTGGCCACCACCTTATATGGGAGGGGGAGGAGGGTGATGGGGCGATTTTTTATTGTTATTATTATTATTTTTAACAGGTCCTTATGGTCTTGGCTCCATATCCATTCTGGGGAGCGCCAGTCCGGTTGCTATTCCCCCGGCAAGTCAAAAAATCAGAATTACATCATTGTACACACGCACGCCCCCTTCCGTCTTTTTTTTTTTTTTTTTTTTTTTTTTTTGGTGCAAGGCCTCTATCCCAGTGGTGGTACGAGAACCACCAGGATTGAGGCTTTGTCGACAGACCGCTCCATCTATTGGTGGGGAGCAACACCTGCTGGAAACCGGGTCCAGCGTCCGTCTTAAGAAAACCATGAGATGAGTTGCGGAAGAACACAGGTGCTGGAAACCCTGTCTGTAATCCTAGACCTGTTGGTTGGTCTTCCTGACCTGTAGGTTGGTTGGACAAACCAAGGGCCGCCTCTTCAGTCTGCACCAGATCGCCGGATCACTCATATTACCCTAGCAGCTACTTCCTGTTTCTGCCCTGTATCACACCCCCTTCCGTCTGGCCGAAGTGTCCCTGATCAGCATTGATTACTCCACTGCAATGGAGGATTGACTGCCAACTTGCCTTTCCCCGAGTCCCCTCTCAGATCCCTCTGTTGGATTCTGTCGGTAAAACGAAAATGCAAGAAAACAGAGATTAGAGCTGACATAACCCTGGAAGATCTCATGTGGCTCTGAAGTCTTGCTGTTCGTTCCGGTGTGAATTCCGTGTCTCCTGGGCAGCAGCCGAATTATGCCAGTCTTGCCATCTGATTTGTAATCCATGGATCTCAACTATCTTTCCGTGGGCCAACCAAATTTTCTTGAACTTTGATACCAGCTCATGCTGCTTCTCCAGGGCCTGCTGGACCTGGAGTTTGACTTTCTTCCATTGGCATCGGATCTCAATCTCCATCAGAAGTCGCGTTGTTGCCCATATCTGTTCACTCCGGTTGCCGGACTTGTCGATGGTTTTGCTGCACCTCTCCTTCCAAATGACCCAAAGTGCTACCTTCCTGATTATCCCGAACCAGGTGCGTTCCGATTTGTCAAATTGAGCAGGGATGTTAGTCGATAGGAGTAATTGGATCGGGTGTTCGAGAAGAGAGGAGGGGAAGAGGTGGTCCTACAGTACTGAGGCTCTTGCCCATAATTCAGTAGCGAATTTGCAGGTTATCAGACAGTGTATTAGATCCTCCTTTTCTTTGTCTGAGCAGACCAAACATTGTTCTAAGCAGGGTCGCTACTCTTTCTACGGGCAGGTAACCAAGAGTTCACTAGGAGGGCGTTGTATGTGATAAGCCATTGAAGGCTTCTGATTTTAACTGGGTGAATTGATTTATATTTCCGCCAGGGTAACTTGGAGATTAGTTTCATTCCTTGACCTAGCAATTTGGTCCATCTTTCTTTAATTACAGTCTCCGGGTCCTTTTTGTTTTCAGTAGCAACCTGTACTGCATTGTGACTATGTACAGAGTTATGTGCCTGGGGGTCTTGCAGATCTTGTTATTGTCTGAGGTCCAAGCCCATTCAACTGGGTCAAATTCTAGATCTTGAATTGCTGTGTCTACTTGGAATATAGTCTTCGGCCAGATGCCCAGTTCCCTTATTTTTCGAAGCGTATATG